GCACATACAAATCCAAATACTTTACGCACTGGCAATATTTATTTATGAAGTACAAACTGAGAGAGCTGCTTCACAGGAATGTCAGAAAAGGGGTGAGGCAGCGTCAGTTAAAATGCACTCACAATCACGTATTCACAAATAGAGAGCTATTCTTAGAAAATTAAATGAATTTAAAAATTTGTTAAAACAGTAATTTATACTAGAATGTGTAACTATAATTAATCAAAAGAGTAAAGAGAACTCCAACACTTTTTAATGCTCGAAAAAAAAAAACTAAAATCTCAATTGATAACAGCTGGACGCCTATAAATATCCATATTTGTTTAAATGAAGTGCAGCATCAGCCTGTTTGGTAGCTAACTGTAATAACGAGTTGTTTACTGTGCCAAATATTTTCCCATAGGAACCGTCAAAGAGAGCACAGCTCAGGTCCAAAATTGATTGAAAATCAAGTTGGCCAAGAAAAAGAGATGATCCGAGAGAGTGAGAGAAAGGTTGAGAGAGAGAGACAGTCTGTCAGAAGAGAGCACAAAGAAAGCAATGTAAATGAATTGCGGGGGAACAGTTTGGTGTCGTGTCTTCACGGAGTCGTCTACAACTATGCTGGTAACTGAAGATTCCAGCCACGATCAGTTGCAGACGGTCAGTCGTGCGAGACAGTTGAGTGCGCGGCGGTGTGAAAATTGCCAACAACGAAGCTCGACAACATAAAATAAGCGACCGCAATCACAATCATAAGCCAAAAAACTCCTCCAGCGAGAAACAGGTAAAAAGCAAACGTTGAAAAAAGAAAGTCAGCCAAGAACCGCATGGGGCTAAAAAGCATACGAAAGAAGCCCAAACAGCGACAGTCTTTGACGGGTACTCGAGGAGTGAGCAACGGCTACTGACACTCAAACTCAAACTCAAATCGGTTATCGTAACAAGAATTACAAAACTAAACAAACATTCAATCAATTAACGGTGTGTGAAGAAACCAAAGCTGAACAATATACGAATAATCGATTAACATTATCATAATCAAGGGCAGCTCCAGGTTAGCATTGGATTAAAAGTGTTAAAAGCTGAGGATTATCGTAACATCGTATCGTGTGTGTGCTATTCTTATATGATAAGTCCACGTAATTGGAATGCAAAACGAATGCTCTCAGCCAACCAAACGCTTTGCTCCTGACCCACAAAACAGTTAACAAACGAGAAATAGAAATAGTAGAAAGAGCCTTGGCAACGTCTTAGACAAGAACTTTTAATTGATTTTCCAGAGCTCACAAAAACCAAAAACCAACTGAAACTCGGACCCGGACTCTTAACTGGCAGGGGCCATAAATTGTTTCTGCGCAGCAATTTAGAGCCATCCCCGGCTTTTTTTCATATGCTCTGCTCCATATACAAGCCACACAACCAAACTCTGCTCCATTTCATGTGTGCTGTGTGGTCAGCAGCAGCAGCAGGAACCCCCTCTCAGGTTTCTTCTTACAAACTGACCCACATACGAGACAGTGGCTAATTTAAGTGTTTCCTGGCATCGCAGTTATAGTTTACGCTGTTTACACAGCTTCTGCACTTTGCTGCCAAAACAAAACATTCTCAAGTGTTGTTCTAAAGAGTCACAGCAGCAGCAGGAGGAGCAGGAGCCGCAGCAGCAAACCCAAAACCAACACCAACATCAACAGCAGCAACAGCGGCCATGCACTTAAGACAAGTAGAAGCTATTAACAGAGAAATATTCGACATGGACATTGTGGTTTTTCAACGAAATTTGAGTGGCTTACACAGTGAACTTCTTTTCAATTCACATACCCTAAAAGTTACCATTTTTTTTTTTCATATTATTTATGAACTTATGAGGGTATGACATGAAAAAAATGATATTTAGATATTATTACTCTAAATACCCCGATCATTGAGCTAGCGCACCTTTTTAAAATAGAAATGTTTCTAGGATAGAAATGAAGGTATAGGTTCCTAGAAACATTTGTAAACAATGGTTGAATAATCACGCAATCATTTCAATCCCAAGGAAATCACAAATATTTCCCAGTTCTGCTTAAAGTACAGGGTATGCAAGAAAAAAACTAGGAGAAGACCATGTCCATTAGTTGGTTAAGACGCTTGGCTGGCATGCGGCAAGTGCATTGTTGTTCCGCCAGGTGGCGCTGACACGACGGCAGCAGCTCCTAATTCATGCGACACGAATGCAAAAACTGAGCGAGATGGATGAGTATGGGGCATAGGGTGAGACAGGGACCGTAGCTGGGTAGCCTTGCGTGAATGCTGCGGCGGCTGCAGGTGCTTCAACATGGGGCGTGGCAGTTCAAGCGGCACGTGTAAAGATTATTTTTCTACTTTACTTTTGTTGCCATTGTCTTGGAAAATTAACCGCAACGGCAGCGGGCGTTGTAAGGCAAGCGCGCCAAGCCCAGCATATGAGGCAAGTTTAAACAAAGACTCGACAGCTTCTGAACTGCGATGGTAACAGGCTGATATGCAAATCCTGAGGCACTTTTGTGGGCGTCTACGCGTGGCCTTTTGTGCGGCCAGCATATTTATTGATATGACGCTGATATGACAACGCATACGTAGATAGAGCCGAGCAGGAGCCGCAGGCAGCCGTGAGGGGATCAAGTGGCTGCGGGTCGGTGGGCCGACGTCGGGCCCAATAATCCCCATTGTACGAGAGTGTGTATCTGTGTGGGGCTTAAGTAATTTTGCTGCCTGTCATGCAAGTGCACAGCAAACACTCTCGCAATGCTTCCTCCATATTCAACCACATAACCCCCTCCCACTGGCATGAATATTAATGTAAAATGCACACACGGTTAGCTGCATTTTTCTATGGAGCATTAAAATATAGTGGGAGCAACGTTCCATATGAGTTAGTGCCTACAATAGAGAACAACAGCAAAGCCCAGAACCGGTTGGCACTGGTGGGCGTTGGGATGAGTACCGGGACGGATGGAAGCTTCCACGCACTCTTGTGCTTGTCAAAAGTTTTCCCATTGCATTGCTTTTATAGCATGATGCGTAAAATGTTCGGAGTTAGGTGAGAAAATGGAAGAATATTGAGCGGCTCGAGGAGTATGAAAAGCGAGTGCATGGGGCGAAGTAAATGCTATTTCGTAGACTTCAATAACCAGAGTTTATAAGTACCCAGCTGAAGATGCCGCATTTGCTAGTCGCAAAAGCGTCAACACATACAATGGGTGAAATATGCGAACAGCTAAGCAAAAATAAAATTATAATTGCTTTCAAATATGTTTAGCTCTACTTGAAATAAGTTAAGCTAATGAGGATAGATTCTTCTGATATTGGATAACCCTATTGAACTGGAATTGGACATAATAGATTTTTCTCTACTTAAATTTGTTTAATTGGTTTTACGGTGCTACATTCTGTCGATTGGCATCCGTAGCAGAATGATGCACGAGGCGTAGGCCAGGTGTAGCTGATGTGATATATTCGCTTGAGTACCACGCCCAAAACGTTGCTTCCTTTTTCGCTGCTCTGTCTGTGCCACTGCACTGCCTTGGGCTTCAGATTTTAATAAACGCTGCTCGAGAGAACGCGTCGTAAAAGTTTTAATTAAGCAGAGCATCGTGACGATGCGTCTTCAGCCGCATATACAGGGCGGGCACATGGAAAGACACTTCGAAGCCATGAAACGCGGCTTTGAGCTTATCATTTAGGCTATCTTCAACTTGGCGAAGCCCTTAAAGGAAAGCCGCTGCTGCTGCCAATGCCGCTGGCAGGCCCCTGCAGCTATTCCGGTCTGGGCCTGGACAGTAGGTCACTGGGTTTTCACTTTGCTTTATAGCCAGCAACGTTTGCTTATCAGCGCTAAGCTGAACTCGATTTTTAAAATGTTTTACTCATTTTTCAATAAGTGCCCGAACAGGCGGCCAACAGCAATAACAACAGCGGCAACAACACAACAACAAATTGCTGCGGCAACGCTGCCGCACAAAACTTGTTCGTGGCAGCGACGTCGACGTTGCTTTCACTTGGGGCAGCCGCACTTGACAGTGCGACAATAGCAACAACAATAACAACAGCAACAATTGTTGCGGTTGTTTGTTATAGCCATTGGCTGTTGGCCATGCTGATTGTCATGGCTAGAGAGCCAACAGCAATCGCAGCAACAGAAACGAAACAGCAACAAAGCCCGTAACAAAACCATAGCAATGTGAATGGAAAGTTCAGGATGGGCACACGAACACCTGTAATACCCTACTTTGACTTAACTCATTTAAAACTCAGCAACCCTGGCAGGATACAGACAAATCCTGAATCGGATAAATCGTCTAAGTAGTTTTTATTTTCTGAAGTTGGCTCAGTTTGTATTATTTGTATACATCATCTAATCTTGCGTCTAAATTCCATCAACTAGCATTGAAAAACTTTGTCAGATTCTCGGAATTCGATCAGAAGAACCTCCATTCCAATCTGGCTATAGGAAAACGTGTCTTGATCTATGAAAGTTTGACAAGCGGTATCAAAGCATTGGCATTTGGACCTTGGACTCTGCACGCTTGCAACATTTGCAACAGAGTCGAGGTTGCACTGCCATACACTCACTTCTGGCTGTCTTTACCTGCCACTGCGGTAGCTGCGGCGACGGGAGTGGCGTCAAATGGCGCCTGCAGCTGTCCAAAAAGCGTCGCTGTTGTTGTTGTTCAAGTTTTTGTTGTTGCTGCTGCTGCTGCTGTGTGTCAAGTGCCAACAAAATGGACATGTGGACACAGCCCGGCGGCAACTTTGAGGCATAGTTCAAAAACATGTTTACACTCGCACTTACACTCACGTACACCAGACACACACACGCGCGCGCACACACACACACGAATACGTAGTGTCTGCAATTATTTGGCTGCTTTCTTTGATGTCTTATTGACAAGCTGAGTAACTTAGTGGCCTGTCAGTTGGCTTTGTTCGATAAATATGTAATTTAAAAGCCATGAAAAAGAAAGTGTTGCACTGCAACGAATTGGGTTAACCGCAAAAGTAAAAGTTCTGCAAGAGCCCCACAATTTCAACTCAACTCCTCCTCTTTTGCATTCCATCTGTTGCAGAGACGTACCAACAATGAAATTCGTGATTTTGCTATGCGTGCTAAGTGCGCTGCTACTGCAGATTGAGGCGTCGCCGGTGCAGCTGCTGTCGAGAAGCGAAAGGGCCGTCGCCCGGCAGCAGGCGGTCAACAACGAGGTGGCACCGGCGGCGGCGCCGGCCAGCGAAGATGACGACGACGACGATGAGGATGATGACGACGATGAGCCGGATTTGGGCGACTTAGTTGATGACGATGATGGTAGGTAGCCAGGCCAATTGCACACACACAGATATTAAGCAAGCACCCGAGCACCTGAGCACCATGCACCACCAGCAGAACCACTGCAACTAGAAACTGCAACTGCATATGCAACCACTAAGTGGCACTCAACGATCAACCACCATTCGCAACCAAGAAATTTGCATATTTGTGTGATGTTATTAACAAATATTTCGTGCCCTTCTTTCCTTGGGTAACACAGTTATTTTGCTTTCGGGGTTTACAGATGATGACGACGAGGAAGACGACGATGATGAGGAGGAAGATGACACGCCACAGGGTCAAGCGGCGCCAGCAGCGACCGCCAGCGATGATGACGACGAAGAGGATGACGATGATGATGACTACTTGGATAGGCTCTTCGATGATATTTTGGGCGGTAAGCCATACGATGTGCAGCTGGTTGGCCAGCCAATTTAGCCCCATTTACATTCATTATCAGATGATGACGATGAGGACGATGATGACGAGGTGGCGCCCGCTGCCAGCGCCCAGCAGAGCCCTGCTGCCGCTGCGCCCGCGCAGGCTCTCGAGGAAGTTGCGCCTGCCGCTTCAAGCGGCTCGCTGAGCTCGGGCATTTCTGATGGTGTCGATTTGCCCGCGGAGAGCGGCAATGCTGCTGAGCCAATTGCGGCCGGCAACACTGTTGAGGATGTGGCTGCAGCTGCAGCGCCCGCCCAGACGGCGAGCAACAGCAACAACGAAGGTGAACTAAATGTTTTTTACGATGAAGATGCACTTGTAGACGGTAGTAGTGGTAGCACCCATAGTTTAAGTAGCACCAATGCAATTGACCAACAAAAACAAAACATACAACAAATACAACAACAAATACAACAACTGCCACAACAGCAACATGCGACACATCAAACAATAACAGCAAATCAAGCATCATCACAACAGCATATAACAACAGAAACAACAACAAGAACAACATCAACAAAGAACACTCTTAAAAATAACAATAACAATTTAGTTGTCAGCACCGCTCCGGCGCAGCCAGTAGTGGGCGCTGTAGGCGTGGCAACTGGTCCAAATGCAGCGCCTGCTGCTGTTAATGTTGCCGCCGGCGCAGCGTCTGACGACGAAGACGATGACGATGAGGACGATGAATATGATGATGATGATGGTGATGATGATATTGATGATGGAGTCGATGAAATTACAGGTGCGCTGACAGGTGACGACGAGGAGTCTGACGACGACGACGATGATGATGACGATGATGATATTATTGGCGATGACGTCATCGAGGCCAGACGCGAAGCACGTGAGTCCAAGTCAACAGCAGCAACAAAAACAGCCAAAGCCAAAAAATCAACAAGTGTTTCCAAGAAGTCCAAAAAAGAGCTTAAGCATTAAAAGTAAACAACTGCCACAACAACAAACACAAACAACAAACAACGACAGCTTAAACAGGAACTGCATATGACTGGGACAATCAAACCACATTGATATGACTTAAGACGTTGCAAGGCATTGCCAACTGTTTTTGGGTAGGACCACATTAAATCTCTTGGACATTGCATAATTCTTTGCCTGCACTGACTATCCCTAAGTCCCACAAACAACAGATCGATCAAAAACCACTGAAATGCAACAACCTATTTCTAATTTATTTATTTATTTGTTTTTGAGTTTTAGTTCAAATGCAAACACAAAATCTAGTTTACATAAAACAAAACAAAACAATACAAAACAAAAATGGAAAAAAAAAACATATTTAAGTAAACGAATATTTTTACAATATCCTCAAAATGAGTGGATTGAGAGTTTGGTGCTAGTCAAACTATCTGCAAAATGACAACAACCAAGAGCACAACAAAAAAAGCAAATGCAAACTTTAAAGCTGCACGCACAAGTAACATTTCCCCGTCCCGCCCACACTCTTTCACACAAATATTACGTTTTCATTCCAAGTTATTTACGCACGGACTGTTCCACATGACCACTAACAACAAAAGCAACAAAAAAAAAAAAAAAAAACAACAAAAAGCAAAATGCACAACAAAATGTTTAATGCCGAAGCACAAATTGTTGAAATAATTATCAGCGCAAAAAGCAAAGAAAAAATGCAAAAAATAATGTGAACATCGCGCCGTGTGGTATGCAACAAAAACTGGCTGAGCTGAATGGTGATTCGCCATTTTGGCAGGCATTTTTGTTGCTAACCGTGTCGCAAGCACTCACGCAAATACATTTACACACCCACACACACAAATAGCTTAATTTATGTAAACAACAACAACAACAACAGCAACAACAACGGCAACAATAATTGTTCATATAGTGTAATCTATAATAATTTTTAATTTTTTCTTGCTTCACATCTACTTTGTTATTAATTTTATTGTTTACAAAAACAACAATTATCGCAGAAATTATCAATGCGTATTTATATACGCATTTCCAAAGTCCATTATATATATATTTCTATATGTGTATTTCTCTATCTCTGTCTCTGTCGCTCACTTTCCCTCTCACTCACGCTTTCACACATTTGGCTTACAGTTGACATCAAAGATTAATCTCTGACTATTTTATTTTTGGCTTTTTTCTGGCTCGCAACCTTTCCGCAAACGTAAATAACGCAAATTGTAAAAAAGTAAAAAAAAAAACTGAAAACAAAATTAAACCAACTGTAAATTGTAGCTAAAAGTTGAACGCTTGAAAGGTAGCGCACGATTTGCCAAAATTTTCCAAATAATGAAAAGTGACGTCAATTACATTTTTATTGCACAAATTGTTAAACTTTGCGTTTTAGGTTCAATTATTTTGTAATTTATTGTTTATTTATTTATTTATTTATTTATTTATTTATTATATATTGTAAAAACAAAACAAGAAGTTAACGAAAACAAGCAAAGCTACACACACACACGTAAACACACAAGAATTTGCTTAAATAAATTTTTCATGAATTTTGTGTACAACTTTTTGAGAAATCGATTGAAAAAACTAAAAAAACCCAATTTGTGTTTTATTTAAATATGTCCCTAGTTCACTTTCAAGCGTCACTATTTGCATAATGGTCAAGGTATTGGTAACACTTTCTCTCTCACTCTCTATGTATGTCTGTCTCCCACCTACTGTCTCTCTTACTCTCATCACTAGCAGCATCACATGGCTCATTTACATATGTATGGATTACACCTGGCACTTGTACATAATTATTTTCCTCCGTGTGGCTGGGCACAACTTACACACACAAACCTGTTCACAACTACACACATACACACAAGCATACATATGTGATGGTATTGGTGCACTATGGTTTTCTATAAAAAGCTTGGCTAGTATCTATTTTAAATATGTCAAATGTAGAACGGGCGCAATGAACTTAATCAGAAGTTCGCTTCAATTAGTTACAACAAAAGGACAAAGTTTACATTAATAGTTTGAGCCCAAAGGGGGTTCCGAGAGGACATATGCTAGGTTACACTTGTGTACTTACCCAGTTCGTGTTACAGTATGGAACGAAGTGCTAAAAAAGAAAGACTCTCACGCCCACATGTAAAATACACATAAGTAGTTCAATATTTCCAGCGATGACTGCACAATGTGCTCTTTTCTATGTAATTCAGTGTACTGGCTTAAGGGTTGGAGAAGTCTTCGCATAACTATATAGTAACATTTGTCTGAGGGTTCTTACAAGAAACTCACTGTTCAATTATTCAAACTAAGACATCTTAATCGTATTGATTAAGATAAAATTACATTGAGATTTGCTTGGGCTGAATATAGATATTTAGTAAAATATTTAAACTTTGCTTAGTTGTCAGTATTGGCTGTAACTAAATGATTTGTTTTCTCTTTTTACTGATGTTAACTCTGTTCTCTTGTCCTTTGCTCTCTTGTGCTTCGCAAGTTAATCCTCAACACGACTTGGCTTAAGTCTGTGCAAGCTTACATAACATCACATATATTCCCATATTGCATGAGCACTTAAAAGTCAATTTTAATTTTGCACTGGTGGAAATTGGATGTAAAGGAATATACCTGGTCGGGCAATAAAATGGTTTATTAGTTTCCTGTTGCGTTTAAGCCACGTTAATTATTTTCTACCCAACGTCCATCCCTGGTATAGTTCTTAAGTGTATGAGTGCGATTTGCTTTATATACGAGCTTGTGGCTGCGCTGCTTCAATGTCAGCGGTTTTTATAACATTATTTGCTAAGCAATATTTTCCTGAGTCACATACTCACACACACATACATAGTCCACACTCATTACGTATTTGTGTATGTGCGCCTAACTATTTCTGGTGAGTGCTAGGGAAGTCTGCACGAGCTGACATTCACACATCTTAAATTAAAATACACTGCATGCTGTAAAACTAACCATCCAGGGCCATTAAGGGCCAAAAAGCCGCGAATTGTCCTTCACACAAAAACCCACACACAACACAAAAAAAAAAAAAACTCTTAAGCGAGCCTCCTGAAAGCGTATTAACATTGACATCTTCTATGGTGTGGGCCAGGTGATCTGAAAAACAACGTCATTGACATGTCAACGGATGCATTCCAAGCGCGCCATAATCATTTCATCGATGCCATATTCTCTCGCATAAATCGCATTGTGGCCGACAATTACGATCCATTTGTGGTACGATTGGCAGGGCGCTCGGCCACGCCCACCTATGGAAGCGCTGGCGTGAAGACAACAACAAAGACCAAGGGAAATGCTAACCATAAGGCAACAACTCACAAAAAACTGTAAGTGGCAAAGGGCAATAGTTAAAAAAGTAGAATATATAAAATGGATAGAGCTCAAGTGGAGATAGAGAAAAGAGAGAGAGAGAGAGATAGAGAGAAGACGCTTTCTTAAGCGATAAAGATACCTTAAAGAAATTTAAGGAACTCTTAGGTTCCTCTTAATGTTCCCAATGCCCATTTACTAGCGTCAGTACGTCCATATGGGATTATTATGACTCAAGCAGAACGCAATCGTAATATCTATGTTGCTGAACGGACTTCGAAATGACCTCGAGATATTTTTTTCAGCGGGTTCAATGTGAAGTTTTAATGTGAGCCCAGCAAAGTTTTCGACAAGCTTCTATTAAAATGTCATCAGTTATTTTCTTGATTTTCTCAAGTGGACTCCAATCATGTCTGTTGTCTAGGCCATAGTTAGCAGTTGGGTGCTCTGCAGGGGTATAAGCTGACATCAAATAAAGGCAAAGTCAAAGCAAATGATGCAAATTTGTGAATCTCTATGACTTGCAGCAAGAACACCCGCTCGGAGCCGCGCACCGCCAGCAGCACGGAGTCCGTCAAATTGCAGGAGCAATTGACGCAATTACAGACAGAACTTGGTGTCAAAGCCATCGAACAGCAAGCGGTGGAGGAGCAGAGGCAACAGGCCGTGGCATCCGGCTCTGGCAAAGCGGAAACTCGCACCGTGTTCAATGGCGAGCAGGCAAGCGTCAAAGCCAACCAAAAGAAATCCACGGCCGGACAGCAGCAGACGGCGCATAAACACAACACGAAAAAGGCAGCGGCTGCGGCGGCGCTGAAGGCGGGCAACGCCAACTACAATCAGCCAGCCGGCGTGGGGGCATCCAAAGCGGGCACGGAAGTGGAGAAGCTGCAAAAAGCCGAAGGCAGTCTGTCCGGACTGGCGTCACTGAAACGTGTGGGCAATGTGAAGGTGATCAGCGATGCGGAAGGACGCAATTCGACCATTAAGGCCAGATTTACGCTGGGCCCATTGACTCTGCGCGTGGAGAAGTCCTTTAAGCGGGGCAGTGTGCGCAACGTGAAAAGCGCAACGGCTAGGACCAACGAGATGATCGGCCGCATCAAGTTCAGTGTGCTGGATGATCGGGCCACCTTGATGTCAATCAAGGTGCAGCAGCCCAAACAGGTTAGCTAGTTACCACAGCCTCTTTGTGCTTTGAGCAATTAGCTTTCATTCTATGTGTTCCTTTGTTCCTTTTGTGCAGGTGGAGGTGGAGAGCAAGGACAATCACGACCGAACCCGCGAATTCGTCTGGCGTCGCACACCCAAAATTGCCAAATTGGTCAACGAGAAGCTCAAATTGGCAGCCGAGTCCCTCTTTACGCCGCAGGGCGTTGAAGTTGTGAGACTCTAAGGGGCAGACAATTGCCATCTTTTGCACAGCCAGATAAATGTAGTCCTAAACCTAATTGTAATGTCTAACTTATTTATTTAATTTATTTGCTCACTATTTACTATTCACTATTAATAACTCAATTATTTCACTCGCAATTTGCAGTCGAGTTTTACTAAGCTTAGAAAAGTATCCTGGAAATTTATAGCAAACTTTGATTTCGTGGTGGATTCTCTTTTATACCCTGTAGCTAATTATGAAATGGGTTAAATAGGGTATAGTGAAGTTGTGTAAGCTTGTGTACGAAGCAGAGAGATATCAATTATTCCAGCTCCTTCCCCAAAATCCATACATAGCTAAATTATGTGTCGATTTTCTGTCTCACTTGATACTTATGCTCTCCTTTGGTATCTTCTATCACCCTATTTCAACTGCACCTGTATGACTTCCTTTTTCGATTTGAGACGAAATAATGATCATATTGTCCCCATGACTTAGGTTTGAAACAGTTTTGTATAATTTTCATACCCTTATACATATGAATGAAATAGCTGTGCACTTTCGCAATGTCCTTAGAAACAAAGGTGTGCCAATTGTTAGTCCCAGGTGCATGTCAGTTGGTCCCAAGCCAGCAGTACACCTGAGAGTATCTGTATCAAGTCACTTACAGTTTTCATTAATTCTGCAGGTGAGTCACAGATGGGTGGCTGGAGACGCCCCTGTACTCTGTAAAGTAAATATAAGTGCGTATTTTGTGTTGCATCTAAGGCGGAAGGACATGCAATTTGTTGCTGTTTGCCTTTGTTGGTATAGTATAGTCCTTTCTGCTGCCTTCCATTACGCTAACCCCCGGTGGCCTCCCTACAGCATACTCCATGCTTCTTTGTCGCCATCGTGCATGCTGTTTGTTTTGTCCCGTCTGGCGTTCGTTGTTGTTCTTTGTTGCACCTAAATTGACAACAATATCGTTTCATTTGCTCAGTGAAGTGAACTCATCAGTGCCGAGATCCCCACAACCATTCCCGTGCACCATCCCCATATCACCTTCACCATGTAGGACACGCATTGGCACTTCATTTTTTTGCCATCTTCTATAGCTGCTGCTGCTGCTGGACTCCCGTTTGGCAGCTTGATTATATTGACTGGTAGTAGCCGGCGGGATGACAGGACAATCTGGTCATGTGCCCGGCTTAAATTTTTGCTTTAGATATCTTTTACATTGTTGTGCGCAATGCAATTGTTGCTTGCCTGTGCCATATGAACAAATTAAACCAATTGAATAGTCCAAAAGTGCAGGGGCCGAGGGACTGGGCCAAAATCTCATTTGTGCAGCTGCCTGCCAGAGCGAAAAATACGTAAATTTGTTGTAACTAAATTTCTTCAGCATTCATTTGCATTTGTTATTACTTCGTCGGTTTTCCAGTTGCAATTCCTGAATATGCAACAATGCCCGGGACAAAGCAACAAACTCTGTTAGAAGATTAAATTCCATGCTGCAGCTGATTGCATTACCAGAGTGGGTGGACCACTGCCCTATTTATTTGAGCAAACTAAAAAATATTTTCATAAATCATAATATGCAATTTCCACATGCTCTCTACAAAATGTGTTCACATAAACGGGTCCTGCAAAACATTTAAATGAGAGCTCTAATAAAAAGTTTTAAGTAATATACGTAGTAATAGTAATCATAATAATAATGTAAATGAAGAGTTCTTGTATATTATCATTAGGTAAAAAGATCAACTAGAGTTCGGCTTGCTGTAAGCACAGCAAAAGCTTACAAGTTTTCGAAACGTTATTTTAGATTGTGCAACTTAAAGCCAAACTTGTCTGGCTGCTGGTATTTTGAAAAGTTTAATACCTTCAGACGTGCCACATGCCGCTCATTATATTAAGACGGAGGCATGGGCACACACATGGCCATACTGGGATAAAAGTTAAATTTGAAAATTATGAAAACTATATTCGAGTTGGGGGACAAAGTCTAGCATACAACTTGCCACTGGCACTTTGGTAGCCTGGCAACTTAACACTTTCAAGGTCAGGAGCTCGTGGAATTAATTAACTTGTTGTATTAGCTCGCTAAGCTTTCGAAGGGCTTCACCTGCTGTCAAGGCAACATAGTCCGATCGGGAGTGTCCTCGTGGCTGGCCACAAAAGCGACAACTAATTGCCACATAATCAACAACAACAACAACAATAACAACAACAACAATAATGCTACTGGAAATGAGCAAAGGAACAATGACAACCACAACAAGCACCAACTATTGTGGGCGACAGTTGGCCGTCGGAGGGCTGTGAATCGGGCTGGAATTTAAGCACTTGCGCTTTTTACCAACTCAATTTACGCTAATTACTGATTTTCGCCACAGCGATAACGTTGTTGCCTCTGTATTTGCCCAGCTCTCAGCAATCGCAAGAGATAAAACGCAACTTGAGTATATTTGTATGTGGAAGACTAAGTATATGTACATATATACATCGCAGCTGCCGAGCCGCCAGAGCATCGTCAGCCTCAGCGCTCGTTGCCCATCTGCAGCAGGTTTCCGAATGCCAAGTGAATTTATATTGTCATTAGCTCTTTTTATGTAAAGTCGCGACACATTTTTCATTAAAATTCTACGAATTCGCCGTCAAAGAGAACCGAACTGTGAGCGAGCTATGCTCATGCGTGCTCTGTGCTGCGTTCTCTTCATGCTTTTTATCACTGACCTAAGGTCTTGCTGTTGCAGTTGCTGTTGTCTGAGTCTGCCAGGCAGTTCATGTGGACGCGATTGTTTATGGGCCTTTGGCAATTTATTAAAAACAAAAGTTGGGGAATGAATGCCATATTATTGAACAGGCTATTTCTGGTCAGAACTTTACAACTCGATATTCCAACAATTTTCTTTCGTTAAAATATAGCCGCTGTGATAAAAACATTGATAGAACAGTTAATTTAGTTGTTATTAGAAAAAAAAAGTTTTTTTTGCTTCACTCGACTAGTTTAATTTAAATGTAGAGTTGAATATTATCATCATCATCCTACCATTATTCTAGGATCAACGTTAAAAGATTTAGCATTTTAAGCATTTTGCTTACAGAGCACAAGTGAAAGAGTGACAAATTGAATTGAAGAGAAACAGATTGCGGCGAATTGACAGCTGGCTGGCGGTCGGATTTGCCACACTTGGACGACGACAACAGCGAAGCTAACGATGCCCGCGAAACACGAAGACGAAAGCAACAGAAACCGAAAACAGCACGAGGCTTCGTCCTGACAATGGATGAGGCTAAGGCTCGTCCAGTATGTTGGCTGACAAGTGCAAGGCCCAAAATAAGTTTCAGTTTCAGTTTGTGTGCGACTGCGACGGTGAACGCATGCGAGATAAACGCAGCGGGTAACGCGTGCGAGTTCGAGCTCAAATCCAAATTCAAATCCGATAACGTATTCGATAACAACAAAGCCAACGTAGGCACACAAACAAGTTGATATAAATCGTAGGCCCAAAACGTGAGACGAAAAAGTATCTGCAACCTGCATCAGTGTGTAAATGTACGTAGAGTATGTGCGTGTGAGTGTTAACGGAAAGTTGAGACCAACTTCTTTAGAACGACTAAAAAAGTGCCAGCGTCGTAAATTTGGAACGTGTGAAAACGCAGGAAAAGGCTCATTGCCTCATTGCCGGCTTGGCAGGAGAAGAAATTGAAAGCCCTTTGTTGTTGCTATTGTTGTTGCCATTATTGTTACTGCCGCTGGCTTATGTCTTTTGGGGCAGTTTGCTAAAGCGCGCGACGCACGCGAATATTTTATGACATCGTTTCGAATTATATGCGATTTTTTTTTGGGCCCGCCCCGTGTTTGCAACTTGTTAGCAGTGGCAGGCGACAAAAGACGAAACTAATAAAATAAAAGCAGCAAAACGCACATACAACAAATAAAAAATGTGTTTACGCCTACACGACTTTCCCTTCCCCTCGACCGCATTACTCGCGCCCCCCTCTGCAACACTCTGTCTCATTAGCAGTCAGCAAATTAAGTTGTTGTATATTTAGCCCAACGTTTCCACAACACCAAAATAAATTAACAAACTAAAAACAGAACTAAATACAAACACCTCACAAATGTACCAAATCGTCTTTGATCTATAGCCCAACAGATAAATGGAAAAGCGCGTCAAAACAAATTGTGCACACAAATTTCCCGCGTGGCAATATTTTGTAACTTAATACATTCATAGCCTTCGAGCGGCACTAGAGTGTCAAAAATTAATAGAAAACACATAAAAAATTAACTTAGAAAAGTGCCAGCAATGCCGCGTTAGCTTTTAGTGGGTAGCTGAATGATCGCCATCGGGCGCACAGTGCGTATGCGCGTTGCGTAAACGAATTTGTTACACATACGTCATGTTGTACAACAGTAAAAGACCAACAGCTACAATCGTTATTGCTGTTGCTATTATTGTAGATGCTTTTGTTCGCCAAAAAACTTTACCCTTGATTGTTGCACTAAGTAGTTGAAGACAGGCGAGAAAAGTTTTGCCGAGTTTTAAAAAATAAGAGCACACATCAACAAAAGTTGAGACAAAGAATGAAAAAAGCCAAGCGCCAAGTTCTATTTTCCTATCTTATCTGGATTTAAACTGTCACCGAACAAAAGTCAGACACGTACAAAATAGAAGCAATTCTTTCAATAGTAAACGCTTTAGACTTTGCCAGTCTTTGAAGACAGCTCAAGTAGTTAAATGCAGAAAATATAGTGTTATCAATTGAAACTTGTAATTTAATTTAATATTTAATATTTAACCATGCATTGATTTAGCGGGAAAACTCATTTTATTTGTTGAAAGGTACAAGCAAATGAATATTAGAAATCATTTGTCTTTCGCCATAGTATTAGTTATTTTTTCCTAGAATATTCAACTGCCGGCATTTGTATCAAGTATGGCAATAATCATTAGGTTAAATGCAAGGAAAATCTGCGTAAATTGTTTTCAATTTAGCTAAACAACCAAGCAGAATAGAAACTAACCTAAAATAAGCACACAATGCTGTTGTATCAATAAAATATTCATGAACAATGCGCAGCGGTGTCGCACGGGGATACACTGAGTCGTAGCAATGCGGAAATGGCCAAATGCAGGGGGGAGTGCGATGAAGGGCATATCATCTAATCACGGATACTAAGCATAATGGTAAGCGACGCCGACGGGGAATAGGAAAGTGCTCAAGAGCTGAGCAACAAACTGCAGACGTTTACAATTACACACACACACACACAGAGAGAGAGAGAGAGAGAGAGAGAGAGAGAGAGAGAGAGAGAGAGAGAGAGAAGGAGAGAGAGAAATAGAGAAAGTGCGACAAGTGGACTTCACTTGAGCTTGCACAGCCTTAGGCAACAATTACCAAGCCGCATACACTCACTCACCAGACACACACACACACCCACACATATATAAATGTATATATATACAAAAATAACACACAAAGAGCTTGAGTGCGTTAACACTTTTGAGAAGCACAGGAACGACGGCGTTGTTCTGTGCCTTTCAGGCTGCTCTTGCTGGCTCTTGCCCCTGTCTCTAATTCCATTACGGAAGCAACAGTGACAAGTGGCCCCCACAGGGCGCCAGGCTAAGCTGGCTAAAAAGCCTGCTGCTGCTGATTGAAGTCTGGGACAGGGCAGCATCAGTTGCCGTCAGTCATTGTACCTTTGAGATGACTTCTCTGCCCTGGCCTCAGCCGCAGCACCAGCCCCATCTGTAGTTTGTAATTAGTTGGAGGCACTGCTGCAAATTTGCAACTAATTAGCTTTTAATTAATTTTACACTCCACCTACAAATCCTTAAGTGTCGTGCGAAAAGCCCAATGCCAGCAACTGCTCCAACAAATTACAAGTGTATTTTGGGCAGGATATTTATCAAGGCAGCTGATTGAGTAGTTTGATCCAAAAGTTGAACCTGCCGCAGGTCAAATTGATTGATATCCCTCTGACATACACTGAATAATTTCGAATGTATGAGAAACGCCAAAATTGCCAAGGGCAAGCTGAAGGTTGGCCAAAGGATGGGTCGACAGTTGGCGGGCTTCAATTTTGAGACGTGCCGAACCCTCCGGCCAATCTATTGCCACATTCCCATTTTCCAGATGATTCCCAAATGCCCATATGCAATAAAATACACACAAATATGTATGTAAATATCCTAATATTTACTTTATATGTTTTCCTTGCCTGTCCTATATTTGATTATCGTAAGCATGGACAGATTTATTTTTGGGCATAGTTTCTGAGTAACCCACTTACAATACTCTGCAGGCATGCGTGTCAGTTCTTGTTCTTGTAAAGCATGTATCATGGAAATTATAGATAAACTTTCTTCTTAAGTTAGTTATTCAGTCAGTTAGTTATTCAGATTTTAATTGATTTTTTTACGCTGAAGGTGTTTGGAGTCGTTAAGAAACACCTGAAGGCAGGAGTTTGCCCGAGCCGACTCTATAAACTAATGTGAATGGGAGGTTTAGTTTAAATTTAGCTTCTTACCCAATTGTTCCATTAGTTCTTAGTGCATACTGGGCCGGTGATAATAACTGCGTGTTTAAAAATATGGTAAAGTGCCTTTATTCACTGAAATATTTAATATCAGTAATGTGATAGCTGTTCGGAAACTTAATAGAAAATTAAAAAATCAATATAGCAATGTCACACATGCAATGCTATATCTATTTCATGCATTTATTTTCAGCTTTTCACATTTATTTGTCTTCAATCATAATAGATGAGAAAGCGTTAGGCTTTTGTTAGGTGAAAATGCGTAAATATGCCCACGCTTTTCAGCCGAGCGAACAGAATTATAAAAACAACGATAAATTTAATCAATTTAAGTTCGCAGAGCTGACAAAATCAATTTACTTTGGCCAAAGCGACAAAAAGCGTTGAAAACTCATGGCATAAAGCAAAGCAACAACAAAATGGCATAAATAACGGACTAAAAAGAAAATGGAAAAACAAATACTGATATTTGGTCTAGGCAGCAGCAGCAACAACAACAACAACAACAACAACAGCAGTAAAAACAATATCAAACAAAAAGCGGGAAAAAGGTTAAAAACAAACGAAACGTTAAAAGATTAAATTGTCTGCCGTTGGAATTAAGTGTTTTAAATGTCATTGCGAGTGTTTAATTCATGAGGGCCGACAGCAGCACAACAAGAAGTGGCTGTAATTGTTGTTGTTGTTGTGTGTGTGTCTGCAATCTGAATAAAAGTATCATTTACAGTGAGAACACAAAATGAAATAATACAACTATATTAGTAGAGAGATGTAAAAACACTTAAAGCTAATTGTAAATCAATATATAAGCAAAAAAAAAAATAAATTGTGAAAGCAGTAGAAATTGTGACACTCACAGGACTCGAAACGAGAGAGACAGAAACACTGAGAGAGACAGGGGAGGAGAGACAGATCTAAGGAAAAAAGCACACGGCGCTGGACGCCGCTTTCATATCAAAATGTTGACCCTTTCGACGCTGCTCTGCTGTATGATGGGTAAGTTGCAAACCGGGCCAGGACACTTGAACGCTGTCATAGCGTCAGTTATATATACATACATACATACATACATATCAAATCCTGTTTAAGCATGCATAAGATTATCAGCGATTGCCGGCGACAACGAACCCAAACGACCCCCAAGTTATTATTGTGGTTGTGGCGGTACCCACAGCGAATCCTTTAAAAAACATTTGTGGCCCGGGCTGCGAAAATCCTGATTTATGTCTGCCTGCTGCGCTGCGCTGCACTGCGTTCTCGTTCTCGATGTCGTTGACGTTGTCCTTGCCAGCAACATGGCCAATGCCAACCGCAGCAGGGGCAAAGGCTGGCAAACAAAAATGCGGTCGCATCGCCTTAGTCCACCCCGGGCATATCGTGTAACGGTAGCAGAGGCTGTGGGGTGACTCATGCGCAGGGGCGGGCTGCTGGAGCTGCACTTTAAACTTTAAACGACATAACACAAATTGCTCTCTGCACATAATTATGCATAATTGAAAAGTGTAATTATGCCCGCGGCTCGAGCAGCGATTTTATGAGGCGCAGCATCAAGCTCAATCAAGCGCAGCAAGAAAATAAACAACGGCAACATCCGCTGGAGTGTGGCAACAAGAGCCAGCCGAGCACAATGTTTATGGCTCTCAGGTCCTTTTAATTGCTATCAGCTGCGGGCCAGGACCAAGACGTCATAGACAGAGCTGCTCAAGCCTACACAGCTCCTCCAACCATCGGGAAAGTTCAAAAGTTAGGTTCTTTCTAATTCCCGTTAATACAACGCTAGCCGTTTGCGCAAGCCTGTTGATTGGTGCTAAAGCTGTTGATCGGCTTGCACAAGCGATTTGTGTAAATAATTAAATATTAAATAAGTTTTTGGCGACAGATTGACAATGAGTTTGAGCAGTTACCCTTTCTAAATATCGTAGAGTATGTGCAATAAGCAATTCAACTTTTTTCAACAAAAAAAATTAGAATTTGCGCAAATCGCTCGCGGAGACCCCGAGCTGACGGTACTAATATTTATATATATACAATCTTTAAAGGGTGTTACTATCAAGCGAACCGAAACCACCACGAAAATCACACGAGGGGGCAATCTTGGAACTGTCCAACTCGTGGTACTGCAAAAAGGACTCGGATGGCCTCTTTATTTGTGTCCCGACAGAGTCGGGCTTACGGCAACAGTAAAGTGTCTCTTTTAGTCGTCTAGTACGACAAGCGTGACATACAGTCGAGGCTACAGTGGTCGCCATTTTTGACAAGACAAATTGTTATATAAATATTTATATATTTCTATAAGTTTTTTTTTTTAAATATTGTGTTGATATATATTTTCTTTCAAGGGTAATGAATGGTAAGATACTGAAGAACTCAATAAACAACGATAGTCAAAAGTAGTGTTCGTCGCATTGAGTACCACAGTACCGCCAACTTCATGGCTGAAATCAGTTTTGGACGAAAGTCCGCTACTGGAAGCCGGAACGGAAGTGGCCATATCAAGCCGGGTGTTGGATCTAGAACATATAAAATTTATGGGATCCGAGATATGTCCATATTAAAGCTGCTTCTTTTTCTTACTTGGAGTAGGAGATGTATATACTTTTCTGCTTAGCTGTTGGTTGTTCAGGTTTTTAACTTCTGGCCTTGTTTGTGTTTCTTCCGCTCAACCAGCGCTCACTTCGACGCCAGTTTTAGTTAGTGGAGTGGTTTATTTAGCTGCCTCTTGTGCCATGTGTTTTTATTGCATTAATTTTTATGGTCGCTGTTGTTGCTGCTGCGGCTCTTCCTCATGTTGCTGCTATTATTGTTGTTGTTGCTGTTGGTGTTGTTGTTGTTCTTTTCGGTGCTTTTGTTTTACTTTGCGTATGCCCCAAAGTAATAAAGTGAATTGGTTTTCCCAAATAATTTCCATTTTAAATCCAGTCGGCAAATCCGCACAAGCTATGCCTCCCTCACGCCCAACTTCGACCAGGCGCAGTAGGTCGGTCCACGCAACGTATATTGTTGGTTGTTGTTCTTTTTGTTCTTCCTGTTGTTGTTGTTGTTCTGTCAAAAGTGGCTTCATTTTCTCGCATAAAATTGTTTTGTAAAGTTTGTTGAGATTTGTTTGGCGACAGCATTTGCTATTGTTTTTTCTTTTCCTGCATTCCTTAAGTTGTTCTTGTTGCTGTTGTAGTTGTCGCCTCTTATCTATTTTCGGCGTTGAATACTATTTGCATTTGAGCCCAATGCGGCCGCTGCCGTCAGTGTCAACAAGGCCTCAAAATTTAATTGAAATTTAGTGTAAACAGAATGACAGCTTGTCGATTATCCTGCACCCACCCACATCCGGACTCGAATGCGTCGAAACATCTAAGTCGATATTTCCGCGAAATCCTTTCCCGCGCAAATCCTGTCTACTTTGGCTTGGCGTCCAATTTGCCAAGCGCCTTTTGTATGTCAAAACTCGATACGAAACACGGCAAACATTTCGCACATGTCACTGAGCCAGTGAAGTTCTTGCCATACGCTCAACCCATGGATTTGCCTAACCCCAACCCATCCCTCTCGCTCCCCGCAAAGTTGGCTGTCAAAACAACACCAACAGCCTTGCATCTAGACTCACACACACACACACACACACACACACACACACACACATCACACACGCACATCACACACGCACAACACACCCCTCACACACTCCTTTGAATGTAAACGCGAATTGTTTACATATTTGCTTTGTGCATATGGAAATGAAATGGCAAATAAGCGAATGAAAGGGGAACAAAAATTACGTTGACTTTTCCAAATGTACATAAATGACATATAAACACACACAAGCACATACAAACACACACGCATGGGTGGGCAGCCAAGGCGCTGCCGGCGATAGCGGTAAAAATAACAACACACAGATTTTGTATAACCCCTTCTCCAGCATACTGTCTCTGTCACACGCTGGCTTTAGTGTTAAGCAACAGACTCTCGAACTGTGCCCATTTGCTACCTCTTTCCCTGTCTTTATCAGCCTCATTTTTACGCTACAAATATCGTGTAGACATCCAATAAATTGACATTTCATTGGATTTGACATAATAATAGCCCTAAAAGTATAGTTGTGTTTGCGTAACTATTTGCATTCTTGCAGAAATAGGTTGGTTAGTTTTTTTTAGTTACATTCCCTATTTTAAAAAACACACTTTTCTGCCCAATTGACAATTGATGACCATTTCCATTGACTGGCAATAAACACACCCCATTTAACCATTTTCCAAACCTTTAACAATTTACTTATTTATTTATTTATTCTAATATTAAAAAAGTATATTTATGCCAACGAAAATATTTGCATTCTTACACAAATAATTGTGTTATTTTTTATTACGGAAACTTTCTTTTACTATTTCTATATATATTAACAAAGCCAATTGGCAATTTGTACACCCCATTTGCGCATTTAATGGCTTTTGTCTTATTTACATTTGGGCTACGCTTGTTTTATTTCCAATTTATTTATTTATTTACTTTTTCTCTTTTTATTGGGATTTCTTGCAACATTTACTCTTGTCTAGCAACATTTTCAATTTCTTTGTACTTTTCTTTATTTTGCTTATCAAAAAGCATCGCGTACAAATAAACTCAAAGAACATATAGCAGGGTAGCTAGAAAAAATTGAATGAAAATAAAGGGGCATGAACAAATTGTTTACGGATGTGTTTGCGTCCGTCTTCTAATCTTTGTTGTTGCCGTTGTTGCCACAACTGCCATTGCCATTGCAAAAAGGAAGTAAATGGGAGCATAGAAGCAGCCCGAAAACGAAAAAGGATGTAACAAAAATTCATAACAAAGTACATTTCATGGCAGTGCGAGCAACTCGTTCATCCTGTTCGGTTTCTTTCGGCTGCGTGTTGTGTCTGTGTGTATCTGTGTGCGTGTGCGTGTGTATCTGAGTGTGTCTATGTGGAGTCGGTTTTTTATTGTGTGTTTGGTCAGAAAAGGAAATTCACTTGACTTTTGGCTACAATAGTTTTCTTTTGCTGGTTCTGTGTTTGTTGTTCTTATTATTATTTCTGTTGTTGCCGATGTTGGCTGAGGGCATAAATAAGCTTGGATTGTGCTGCAGTTGTCGCCGCTTGGCAGCTTGACTGCGTTTTGGCCATGGCCAGCAGACTTAGATGTGGCCGGTAGGCAGAATACACACACATGCACACAGGCATACGTACGTACTTATTTATGGCAATTTGTCGAAAGTGCTTGGGCATCTATATTTATTAGGAGTAAGAGCTTTCCCAACAAAATAATCTTTCCAAACAATAAAATATGAAACAAGAGTGCTCTAGATAGATCGACTTGGCTGTCCATGTTAATCAACAATATATACACTACTCGAAATTGGAAATGTCACAGTTCAATAAACCCGCCAACTGTAGATTATTGGTAGAGTATGATTAGATATTGGCTCATTTATATAAAGAAATTATTTCTATTGGACAATAGATACTCGTAAGCTTCAGCGATTTTGACACTTAGAGTGGCCATCAAATTATTACACATGACCTTTTAGGCACGCTCTGGTTACTTTTGAAGGCATGTGTAACTTCTTTCTTCGTAAAATATATTGGAACTTCCGCTTTCACTGGTACATTCAAAGCCGAACCAATTGTTGTCATAATTGCACCACAACAGGAACAGAGCAAAGCTCATAGCTGCTACAACAAAGTGCGGCCACACCCAATGGGTCTGCCGTTAATCCCAGTCCCAGTCCCAGTCCCATTCGGTTACCAGTATCAGGGCCAAAACATAACGACCCCGGCTAGCTTTTATTATTCCGCTAAATTGATTTTGAATTTAGTTCAATGTTTATGGTCAAATGGTTGCGTTTTTGTGTCACCAGGCTCGGTGTGGAAATAGCATAAAACGCTCGTATATGGCTGTATGGCTTTAGATTGGCCTAGGAACAGCCGCTGTCCCTTCACCTTTACCATGCTCTATCTATTTTTGGGAGCCAGTCAGCTAGG